GCTGTGGCTCAAGTGGTAGAGTGCTAGCCTTGAGCTGAAGAGCTGAGGGACAGCACCCAGGCATAGAGTTCAGGCCCCACGACCGGAGTCCCCCCCCCCCAAAATGCAATGCCCTGAGTATTAAACTCCAGTACTGTTCAACAGCATCCTCTCAATAAATGAGCCCCCAAACTGTGTGCCCTATTATGTATATAGCATGTGGTTCTGAAACTTTGGCTAATAAAAACATCTTCAAAATGCAAAAGCAAAATGTTTTAATGATTCAAGCTGAGTGAATACTGTGGCCCAGGTAGGATATGGGAGAGTGAGCCCAAGGTAGAAAATATATGAGGAATCCAGAGTGAAACAAAAGACTTTAGGAAAGAGGGATTAGGAGTGTGTGTGTGTGTGTGTATGTGTCTACACAGGAGAGGGTGTGTGTGTGTGTATGTGTGTGTGTATCTACACAGGAGAGGGTGTGTGTGTGTGTGTGTGTGTGTGTGTATGTGTATCTACACAAACAGGAAGGTGAAGCAGGGCATGAATACCAAGGTCTGACTGAATACCAAGTCTGACTGGACTTCACAGAACCACACGCTTTAGAAGTGGCCAGGAAACTTGACAGAGCAATTCAACGAGTTAGAAACCTTTCTAAAAACAAGAACGACCAAGAAACAACTGTTTTCTTGTCCTATAGGAAATCTGTAACAGTCTTATCTCTTATTAAGTTCACTTATGAACTCAAACATAATTTGATGAGTTGAGAACAGAACTGTAAAAAAAGAAAAATCTACCAGGGAATAGAATATTGTCAGGAAATAAATATACCAATCATTACCTGAAAACTAACTTAATTATGTTCTCAAGTTGTTTTTTTTTTGATCAGTCATGGGGCTTGAACTTTGGCCTTGAGCGCTTGCTCAGCTATTCAACTCAAGGCCAGAGCTCTACCACTAGAGCTATATAGTGCCACTTCTGGTTTTCTGGTGGTTTATTGGAGATAAGAGTTTCATAGGGGGGCTGGGAAGGTGGCTCAGTGGTAGAGCGCTTGCCTTGCATGCCTGCGGCCCTGGGTTCGATTCCCCAGCACTACATAAGCAAAAAGAAAAAAGCTGGAAGTGGTGCTATGACTCAAGTGGTAGAGTGCTAGCCTTGAGCTGAAGAGCTGAGGGACAGTGCCCAGGCCCAGAGTTCAAGCCCCACGGCCGACAAAAAAAAAAAAAAAAGGCTAGCGCTCTACCACTGAGCCACCTTCCCAGCCCCCAGTGAGACTCTTTATCTCCAACAAACTACCAGAAAACCAGAAGAGGCACTGTGGCTCAAGTTGTGAGCGCTAGCATTGAGCTGAAGAGCTGCAGGATGGCGCCCAGGCCCAGAGTTCAAGCCCCATGACCAACAACAAAAAAGCAATACATGAACTAATTAAAAAAAAAAGCAATACATAAACGTGTGTGCGCGTATGTGTGTGTGTGTGTGTGTGTTATAATGCCAGGACTTGAATTCAGGGTCTCCCATTCTCACTTGACTTTCTTGCTTTTGGCTGCATGTCTACCACATGAGCCCTATCTCCAGTCTGGCATTTTGCTGCTTAGTTGGAGATGAAGTCTTCAGGGCTTTTCTGCTTCAGGCTGGGTTCAAAATTCAACCCTCCAAGTCTTAACCTCCTGAATACTTAAAATTACAGGCGTAAGCCACAGTTGACCAAACCATAAAGCAGATTTTCAAGAGAAAAACCCTATATATTAAAAATTAGTGGGGCTGGGAAGGTGGCTCAGTGGTAGAGCGCTTGCCTTGCATGCATGAGGCCCTGGGTTCAATTTCTCAGCAGAAAAAGCAGAAAAAAGATGGAAGTGGTGCTGTGGCTCAAGTGGTAGAGCACTAGCCTTGAGCTGAAGAACTGAGGGACAGCGCCCAGGCCCAGAGTTCAGGCCCCACGACTGACCAA